GGCCAAAACAGGCTGAAATTTCAGGCTGTCTTTTCAAACAGCTCTTATACTAAAACAGCATTATCATCATTTTCACAATGTCACAGTATTATTCCAACCTCATAGTGTGGACACAGGAAAATCACTTTTTTTTATGCACTGGGCCTTGAAAAACATATCTCCCAATGACCAGCTTACAGCTTAAAGGGTTACATAACATCCTCAGGCGCTGAGTGCTCATGGTCATGTTTAGTGTGAGGAGGCACACTGACTCTGGCTCAAATGGTGCTTTACTGGTCAAAAGTAGTGCGCTATATGTGCCATTTTGGGGCACAGATACTGAATGAATGGCCACATATACCCATAATTCACCTCTGGGGAGACTATGACGGAGCAGGGATGGGGGGGGGGGGGGGGGGGGTATGTAGGATTCTCTGTCCCTTGGGGGGTGAAGTACAAGATGACCCCAGATGTCGAATCCTCCGCAGCAATTCCTCTTCACTGCTCAGAATACTGATCATGGAACCCTGGTTTCCCTGGCAACAAGGCTCCTCTTCTAATATAGCAACCAGCGCACGTGTCAGATGTTTTAATTTTTTATAATTCCAACAAACCAACCCTTACTCTCTTCCTGTCTTTTCACTCAGTGCCATGCCTGTTTTGTTCACTCCTCCAAGGCTTTCCCCTCTGCTTTCAACATGTTTTATGAGCAGCAGAAATCCTTTTCTATACACCTCTAATCAGTGTAGTTGGCGTGCTGTTGTACGTTGTAAAATGTCAAGCATGTAAGCACCCCAGGACAAAGGACTAATTTAGGTTAAGTTGGAAAATCACATAGCTGGATCCTGGTACCTAATAAACTGAGCCTTGAAGGCATAATTATTGTCATTACTGTCATTGTTGGTGCCCAAAATGCCATCACTCACTGCCTGGGGTCAGTCATATTATGGGAAAAATTGTAAACTATCTTCAGCGTATAACCTTTGCACAGAGATGTCTTTAGGCCAGCTAATTGCCATGTACGATTGTGTAGTATTGTGCAATGCAGTGCAGAACAGATTCCTTGCTTGTGGTGTAGAAAATGTGAGTTAAAAAAATATCAAACCGTTAGAAAGGAATCCTTTATCCAAAGTACCCACACAGTGCCATCTGTTGGCTGGCTTCAGCATTACACTAATTCCTCAATAAAACCTAATCTTCATCTGCATCTGCAGCCTGGCCTCAAAGACTACACGTATCATAGTAAATGTAAATCCGTAAAACTCAAATTAGCTTGATATCACATTTGGTATGGTTACAAAAAGACAAAATGTTACTTTCCATGTTATCTGTAGCTTTTGAAGTGTGTAAACACTTTATTGCTTTTATGTATTTTGTTTTGTTGCTTTGCATGTGCTCACTGCTCATTGTTTGTCTGTATTGATATTGTAATTGTTTTTAATTACCTGCCCAGGGACTGCGGTTGAAAATTAGCCAGCACTTTTACTGAAACGTTCATAAAAAAATAAACTCAAACTCAAACTTAAGCCAAAAAAACAAAAGGAGGAAGGTTGGTTGGTTGGGAGGATAAGTGAGCGTCTGATGCGAACGTCTAGCAACCCAAAGGTTGCATGTTTGAATCACATCACAGACAACTTTAGAATTTTAGAAACGACTTACTACTTTTTAGCTATTTTGCAACTACTTAGCTAACCCTTCTCCTCACCCCTAACCCTAACTCCTAGCCTAGCTAAAGTTTACCACCTAGCTAACGTTAGCCACAACAAAGTGGAATTCGTAACATATCACACGAAATGGATGATGGACATCCACAAATTAATACATACCATATGAAATGTAACATATCGTACTAAATGGAGGAAGACAGTATTACATTTACTATGTTACATCTATACCTAAGTCCAGGTTGGAATCTGATGAGATTAGATCTGAGCAGGAAGAATTTGTGTCATCAATTTAAAGGGCAAATGTTCAGCATTAAACTTGATTATGCAACTCTAGCCTACAACCAATTTCACATTGGAGTAATAGCAATTCACCCCTTAAGGCGGAAACCAGTTAAACTTCCACCAAGCACTTCACTTAACCTCTGACGCTATAACACCTGTGACTTGATAATGGGCAAGTCACAGCAGCCTTATCCCGCCTGTCTCATACGGTCTATGGTCTCTCAGCAGGAAACAAAATAGAATGCTCATTCTGCCTTCTAGAAGGTCATTCATTGCCAACGTCAGCACAGTGTTCGTTGGCATGCACCAACCCGTTTGTCAAGACTGCCAAAATAGTAATGTCATAGGCTGTCTAAAATGACACCCTATACCTTATAATGCATTACTTTTGACGTCATAGCCTACAGGTTATGGCAGTGGCAGACGGATGGAGTAGGAATGCATCATCTACAGACTCCCTGCTATGCTGCCTGGGAAACAGTGCTTTATGCTGCACCACTAGGCATATACACAGATGGATGTTGTCTCCCCCCACTCAGTCAGCCATGAGAGGAGAGAGAAAGGGTGAGTCTGCATATTCTAGCCTGAGGTCCAGAAACACACAATGAGTCTGAGAGCGAGTTTTGAAAAACATTCTCTCATTCATTTAATTAATGTTCTATTTCAAGCCATATTCCAGTCAGAGCCTGATTTTTTTTTCACTTCAGTATCACTTCAAAAGGGACTGTGAAAGAGAACACAGACACTAACTGTCTAGACAAACAGTCCCTTAGTTGTTAGCTGCAGAAATATAAAATCCATAGAGGCGGAGCTCATTTCTTAGCAGATAACTGCAGTAATGGAGTGCCATAGCCTATACTATCCAGCCCCTGCCTCTCCAGTCTAAAGTGCTTACTGTCATGTCACAGTGGAGATGGAACAGCAGAGCAGATATTACCCACTCAGAGAAGTGTTATTCCCATTCTGACAGGCTAAAGTATTGGGCCATTATATTTTGAATGAGAAGAGACAGAACATACACACATCCCAGCTAACAACAAACTTTAACACAACGTAAGAGAACGTTCCCTTAAGAGTCTCATTAGGTCATTATCTATCATTTTCATGGCGTCTTGTAGTCTGGTTCTAGATATGCCATCAGGACATTGAAGCCGCATCCTTTACCATTGACAATGGCTGCATATCAACTGCAATCATTTCTGTAATCAGCGCTGTGATTTTCTCACTCCGTCCATTATCGCACTTCCTTCGTGTGAAGAGCCTGTCTAATGTCTGTGGTTGGGGGCCTCCGCTGCTGCCAGCAACGGTTTGGGTCTCACAGTGCCTCCCTTTCAGATGGTTAAAGATCAACTCTGGGACCTTAAGCACTTACAAATTCATAACATACTGTACGAATTGAAATTCATAACATATCATACGAATTGAAATTCGTAACCTATCATATGAATTGCCGCCACACCCCCCACAAAACAAAATGGATGACATAGTACACAATTGTGCAACATTTTTGTGGACCAGTTTTGGCTCGTGAGCACTCCTTTTAAAACTCCTGGCTAAAATTATAAAAAACCTCTGTAGCATCGCTTTAAGCATTGCACCTGTACTGCCTCTGTAGCTCAATTCCACCTTGCAAAGTTTGCATTTCACTCACCACCTTCTCATTTAACTTGTGAAAGTATTGCCAGACAGTACTTCCCTGCTGTCGCTTCCCTCTCTCTCTGCCATTTTTCCAACTGTCAACGACGATGACATGCTGAGCACTTTATAATTTGAAAGATGCATATCTCCTCCTACTAATGTCACAGCATTGTTGCGTTAGGTATTTGTTAAAACATTTTTTCCCCCTTTATGATGATGATCAGGACCTGTTAGTGGTAGTTTTGCAATAACTGCACTGTGATTGAAATGTACTCTTCCGGTTAGGGATTTTTTCTAAATGTTAACAATCCCAATTTCATGTTTACATTCATACCCCTATCTAGAACATTGCTATCTTTATTCTGAGAACATGGCAACCATGTTCGGCGTATGGTTTGTGTGACATTGATGGAATATTCCCCTAACCTTTAGAAAACTGGACACGAATGTTCTTGCAATGTCCCATGAAACGTGTCTAGAACATTAATACGGGATATTCTGAGAACATGCTAACCACGTTCTGGGTAAGTTTTGTTTGACATTAAGGGAATGTTCTCCTAACTCTAACAACAATACATGCTAAATAGGTTCTCAGGAGGTTTTTGCTGTTGTTCCCTTATCTAACGGAAAACTGGACACTCAAACATCAGAGGAACATTACGGGTATTACAAAAACGTTCTCTCTACCTAGAATTGTTAGCTTGGATGTCAGTATGTGTCACGGATCCCCCCCGTACTGCTACTCATTCCGTTCACCAGTTCCGGAGGTCTACGTCACCGGCCTTCTAGGTGTCACTGACATGGATCATTACCACCAACCCCGGACTGTCTTGTCTCATTACGCACACCTTGTTCCCATTCCCACTGATTAGTATGTGTATATATGGGCCCTCTGTTCCCCATTGTCCTTGTCCATTATTGTCCCGTGTCCGTTGATCTCGTGAGTACTGTGTATTGTGCTCTTGTTATTTACGGGTCTCGTCCCGGGTGTTGTGTAGAGGTTACACCTCGCTCTTTGTTTGGGTTACATCCCTTTGATATATATATATGTTTGTGTTGGGTAGAGTAAATAAAACCCCTAATACATATTCCTGCACCTGTCTTCTAATCATTACACAATGTGACAGTATGAGACAATAAAAGTAGATGAGTGGAAGAAGGATCTTTAGATGCACAAAAGGTGAGTAGAATATCCAACCTCTGAAGTCCAACCAATAAGCTTGTCTGTGCCTCAGAGATCCTCACAGAGTAATAATTAACAATAGGTAAATAAAGACACTGTGTGTGCACGTTTGCATGTCTGTGTGCGTGTGAGGGGTTAACTCTCAGTGATATGACCATAGCACAGATATGTGCTAGTGATGGTGAGAGGAGAGGGACTCTCCTGGATGCTGTTTCTGCTAATAGTATACATTATATCTGGTGGGTAAAGACATGAACCCCGAAGAGCAACACTGGATGGACACTCTGCAGGGTGTGTTCTACCCAGCCTTGGCTATAGTGGGCATCCCCTGTGAGTATACCTAAACCTATAGAACTACTTGCTGCTAGGTATGGTTGTCTTATACAGATGGATGAGTACAATGACTAGGGGTGTTGTAGGAAAATTGGTATATTTGTTCAGCACACATCAGAATATGCATGTTATTTTTTTCCACAAATGAATTTGTCAAATCATTGAATGGATCAAATGGATAATGAATTTAATGGTTATAATGAATATTTCTTTGAGTAAAATATATATGGCTATAGTAACATTAAGTTTAATTAATTAATTATGATTAAATGCTTCATTTGTTTCCAATGGAAAAACCCTAATGATACGAATCCCTCCTCCAGCCAACATTGTTACCTTCCTCATCTTCTGGCGGAGGAACTGCCTGCTGTCCAAGTCCAGCACCTTCTATCTGATGGCCATCTCTGTAGCTGACACTCTGGTCCTCGTCTTCATCGTGGTGCTGGAGATCACTGTCAAATTTTACCAGGAGGTACTTATTTAGTCAGAAATGTCACTGCTCTTTTAATTTATAGTTCTGTCAGTAACACTTTACATTGGATTTCTATAGTAATGCTGTAATTACTACAGTAACAGCAAACAGCATTGTATCAACATGCCATTACCTAGTAGCCTATTTCAGGGTTTTCCTAATGTTGTTCTGGCGCACGCTTTGGTTTTTTCCCTAGCACTACACAGCTGATACAAATAATCAAAGCTTGATGATGAGTTGGTTATTTGAATCAGCTGTGTAGTGCTAGGGCAAAAACCGAAACGTGCACCCACGGGGGGCCCCAGGACCGAGTTTAGGAAACCCTGGCCTGCTTTACTAATTGTTTTGTCCTTTCTTTGTAATGGATTTTTAGTGTTTGTTGTTATTACACTGACGGCATTAGGAATAGTCGCTATTACTATTCCCTCCATTTTAAATGCACATTAATTAAGGCTTGATTTGATTTTAGGAGCCGTTTTGGAGCCGTGAGCCCTGGTGCCGCCTGAGAGACATTTTCAGCTACGGGGCCTACAACACCTCAACCTGGCTGGTGGTGGTTTTCACCGCAGAGCGCTTCATAGCCATCCACACCTGGGCCATCAAGACCAAACTCTGCACACCGCGCAGTGCCTTATTGGCCATCGCCACCATCTTACTCCTCAGCCACCTCCTGGCCATACCCTACTACTGGTCCAATGTCTCGGTTTACGACCACAACCAGACCAGATGGGCCTGTATATACGAACCTGAGGCCCCTCATGGTTATGTGCATGCCCTGGTGGGGGCCCAGACCTTAGTGGTCTACGTCCTACCTTTCCTCATCATCCTCACCCTCAACGGGCTGACTTTGCGACAGATCTCCCTTAGCAGCAGGGTCCACATGGTGGCGGCTGCCGACCTGACCTCAGGGGCCTACAGGGTGACGCCCCTGCTGCGCTCCAGGAAGAGGAAGTCTGTAGTGCTCCTGGTGACCGTGTCCATGAGCTTTGTGCTGCTATCCGTCACCCGCGCAATCACCCAGATCATCCTACGCACCACCTTCTTCTACGGCCAGGATCGCAACGACTACAACCTGCAGATCAATGTGGTGGCTGACATTGGTAGCATGCTGAGCCTCAGTAATGCAGCCATCAACATGTACCTGTACGCCTGCACTCAGGCCAAGTTCCGTCGGGAGTTCACAACTTGTGTCAGACAGGTTTTGTCCCAAGACTAACAAAACCCTACCCAGCAGTACACTTGGTCTGGACCAAGCTGAAGGTACTTGGGGTTAGTGAGCCTGTTTTAAACCCTAGTTTCTCAGAACAATGGAAAATGGATGAGTTCTCATAACACACGTTCATAAATGGTTACCGTTTCTCCAGACATCTATAATTGACTAGGAACTCCATAAAACTCAGTTTAATATTCTCACCCGGTTAGTATTTGTGTACTTTACGCCTTTTGTTGCTCTGTAAAAGTAGGATAACATCACCCTGTCAATGCTCACAGCAGAATGACACACATCTGCAGCATTGTTTGCCCCTGCAGTCAAAATTAATTTCCTAGAATAGGTTTCCAGTCACAATGCAAACAAAAGGAGACAGATATACAATAAAGGGAGAGCTCTGTTCCTGGCAGTAGCATTTTTCATTTCCTAAAACAGGTGTCTGGGATTAAGAAATGCTATCTTGATTGATTTGTCAACAAATTTTTTGGAGTGGTAGCATTGTCTGCTGTTTGCTTAAGCCTGCTAGAGTTGTTTTGATATTTAATGAGCTACATTATGGAGGGTCACGTCAACATGGACATATGTTATGGATACTGCTGTAACGGTGTCGTCACATTCCTTACCCACGTATGCTAGCTTAAGTATAATATGGTGTATGTGTTGTGCGTGTGAGAGAGAGAGAGAGAACAAGTGTTTGTGTGATAGGATTCATGTATACAATGGATATACAAATGTGTGTGATATGAGACACTCTCACCAATTGATTGTACAATGTACACACATATGATTTCAGATTGCAGATGCACCTACCCTGACGACTTCGGTCTGTAGTCGCTTTCAGTAGCCTTACAACTCGAACATACCCAATGAGTTCGACTTCTCCTGCTCAGACGTTGCATGCATCAACCAATGGTTGAGTGCCACATCAACGACTGTGCTGTCGGCCTACACAAATCATATATCACACCATTTTGAAGTCAGCACAAATGATTTACAGGATGGCAGGTTCAGGTCGTGTTCGCCTGCTCAGACGTTGCTGAAGCATGCCAGACCTTATGCCGCCTGGATAGGTAATTTACATTTCAGTTATCCACATCATAGCAATCTGGTGCCCAACGGCCGAAATCTATCATTATCCAAATATCTCTGCCCCAGAATGTCAGATCCTCAAAAGGTAAAGTGCTTATTATTCAGAAGTGATTTTCTAAGTAGTTTGAGGGAATCTACAATGTCAGAGAAAGGTATGTTTGTGTGCTAATGCCCAGGTTTGACAAAAATTATGGAAAATATGCTTTTTCTGTGTATTGGGCACAAAATGGTTGAATCAACGTAATTTGTCAACGTATTGGTAGGTGGAATCTACGTGGAAAATACATTGGCTTTGAAAACTGTCATCAATGTAAACTGTTGTTGAGAGGATGACATTTCAACCACAGGATTATGTCATAACTAACCACGTTTCCATCCACAGTTTTTATGCAAGTAAAGTCATTTCGTATTTAAAAAAAAATCATGACAGCTGTGATGGAAAAAGATACAGTGCCTTCAGAAAGTATTCATACCCCTCGACTTAATCCACATTTTGTTGTGTTACAGCCTGAATTCAAAATGTATTACACTGAACAAAGATATAAATGCAACATCCAACAATTTCAAAGATTTGCTGAGTTACAGTTCATATAAGCAAATTAGTCAATTGGAATAAATTAATTAGGCCCTAATCTATGGATTTCACGACTGGGAAAACAGAGATGTATCTGTTGGTCACGATACCTTAAAAATAAGGTAGGGGCTTGGATCAGAAAACCAGTCAGTATCTGGTAAGACCACCATTTGCCTCATGCAGCACAACACGTCTCCTTTGCATAGAGTTGTTCAGGCTGTTGCCTGTGGCCTGTGGAATGTTGTCCCACTCTTCAATGGCTGTGCAAAGTTGCTGGTATTGGCGGGACCTGGAACACACGGTCGTACACATCGATCCAGAGCATCCCAAACATGCTCAATGGGTGACATGTCTGGTCAGTATGCAGGCCATGGAAGAACTGGGACATTTTCAGCTTCAAGGAATTGTGTACAGATCCTTGCGACATGGGGCCATGCATTATCATGCTGAAACATGAGGTGATGGCGGCGGATGAATGGCACGACAATGTGATCTCCCATCTCTAGTAGCAAATTGGCCTGAAAAGCAAACAGGTAAGCCCAACTGAACATGCCCCAGACACAAATATCTTTCCAGGGAGTGTAGTGCTGGTCATAAACGAAGCACTGGGGTTGAAGTGGTAAGCCTGTGAAGGCTCGATCACCGGCTCGAACCGACCCAAGTGGGTTGAGGCTGCGGGGTAGCCTCCTCGCCCGTAGGCTGTTTTGAGGGCGAATGGGTAAGCGCAGCGAGTGCTTTACACAGCAGGACTTGCGGTTGAAAAAGCTAGTTTGGGGTAGCTAGCCTTCCGGCGAGTTACCCGGGTTAGCTAAGCCTTACGGCGAGAGCTAATCTTTGTAGTGTCATTAGCTAGCTTTCTAGCTGGCTAGACGAGAGACCGGAGCTAGCAACACTACCGTTGCTATGTAGTAGTGCTGGTACGGTTAGCTTGCCTTACGGCGAAAGCGAATCCTTTGTTAGCGTGGTTAGATAGCCTTGCAACTAGTTAGCTAAAGCCTTGCTAGCCTTGTGGCGCTTGCTAAACGGAGACTGATGAGTAGAAAATGAATTCTACTAAGCAAAACCATTTGAGTTGAGGTCCTACGTTTGGCAGTGTTAACCTCACGGTTCTCCTGACTACGGTTCAGTAAGAAAACAGAAATCCAGTCGAGTTGAAGAGCGCTTTAGTGAACGCAGTCAACTTCCGCAAGGAAGACAGGCGAGAAAGACCAGTTGGGTGGGCAAGTGGCTCCCTTTATGGAGGAGAGGGGCTCACCTCATTCGCCACTCGACCTGTCTGTCTTCAACAGACACTGTGTGATTGGCTACTTCGAGCTGGGGAGTTTGTCAGGATCAAAATAAATAACAGAGCAAAACCCAGGTAAAAACTTAAGAGGAAAACCATCCTCAGTTTTCTGAAAACCTAACCCTGGGAGGGATAGTTTTATTTTCCGCAGGACAATTACACAAATGTTTATGCGAAAGACACACCAGAATGTCTTTCCAAGAAGTGCTGAGTGTTCCTGAATGGTCCACTCAGTCCTGACTTTAATCTGCTTAAACAAATCTGAGACAATGTTTGAATATTGCTGTCCATCTATGATTCCCAACCAAATTTACTGAGCTTCAGCAATTTTGACAAAAACAATGGTCCTCTGTAGCTCAATTGGTAGAGCATGGTGCTTGTAACGCCAGGGTAGTGGGTTCGATCCCCGGGACCACCCATACGTAAACATTTATGCACACATGACTAAGTCTCTTTGGATAAAAGCGTCTGCTAAATGGCATATTATTATTATTATTATAAAGGTAACTGCCAAAATAAAAGGCAACACTTCGAGTAAATGAGGGATACAAAGTATATTGAAAGCAGGTGCTTCAACACAGGTGTGGTTCCTGAGTTAATGAATCAATTAACATCTCACCACGCTTAGGGCCTGAGACGGTGTTTTCCACCACCATCAACAAAACACAAAATTATATAATAAATTGTGGAAGTATGGTGTCACATCCCTACAATAGAGTTCCAGACACTTGCAGAATCTATGCCAAGGCGCATTGAAGCTGTTCTGGCAGCCCTATTAATTCACTTTATGTTGTTTTCTTTATTTTGGCAGTTATGTTGCCCTAAGAGTTGTGCAAGGTTGGTAGAATCTTATTCAAAATGATTCACAGCTGTTCCAATTTTTTTGGGAACATTTTCAAATTTCCTTCACTTTCAAAATGTGGAGAACGTTATGTAGATCAGTAAGAAAAATATCAAATGTAATCCCGTTTTAGATTACATTTTAAGGCAGCAAAATGTGAAGACTGTGCAAGGGGTGTGTAGACCACTACACACTATAAATATCAAATATACTGTATAGAATTGGGCAAAAGGCATACATTTTTTTTTTAGCTACTATAGTATTGAATGTGCTTATACTGTGACTCAGTTTTATATGATTCTTCAATACTAAAATGTATTTATTTATCGATTGGGCTATAATTTTTTTGTTGTTGCTTTAAACCACTACATTTGGAAGGACATTAAAATACATTTTACATTAAAATGTATTAGTAAAGGAAATCAAGGATATCGATTTAATCTGATAATGCAGTGTAAACTTCTCACCTCTGTAAAGCCTGTGATGGAAATTCACCAGTGACTCTATTACAGAACTATGTGATGGTAGGTTTTGGTGCAACGCTCCATCTCTTGACCACAGTATTTTCCCATGATTAAAATCTTCCAAAAATGTAAATATATGACATGTTTACTGCTTAGCACTGATTTTGCCGTGTAATAACAATTACAAAACCAGTACTTCTAACAGCTTAGGCTTTGTCAGAGATACGTCATTGCATTCTGTCTGTCACTATGGAAGTGTGTGGACACTTACATGTAGCATCCCGTACTGACGTTTTGAGTCATTCAGTAGAAAATGTATTCAAAGCAGATGTCATATACATGTAGTGCAAAATCTCATAGCTTCATATCAGCATAATTTAGTTTAAGGGGATGGATTAATAGAGATCCTAAACTCATCAAAAAAAAGAATATCAACCCATTCTTTACACATTTTTTTAAATGTACAATAATAAGGCCTATTCATTGAAGCAGGTGTCCTCATTTTAAGGCTACAGAGAGCACAATGTTAGCCTGGATGCAAGAAAGAGACTTGCTTCACTTTCTCAGCCTGGTAATTCTGGCAAAGAAACTTTTTGCCATTGTTTCATTAATGGGGGCTGTTTCTATGGAACACAGGGCGGTCATATTTTAATGACTTGGTCATTTTGTCATAAGTAACCCATGGTCACAGAATGCACAATGTCAGGTATTGCTAACCTCACCCATAGACAGAGAGGATGATGCTTGGCCAGGTCACACTAATTGTGTAGCATATTCTTACTGAACAGACATATCAGGCTGGCACCATGAAACATGAATGACAACACCAATTTAGCCAAATCCTGGAGTAGACTTTATTTCATGAACGATAAACAATTAGTTGTTGTTGTTTGGCTTTTTCTGCACAGCTATACATACACGTTGATGAAATATTGAAGTTCTACTATTTCTTCCTCCCAGGCTTCTGAACTTTGTTGTCTAGTCCCTGGATGTACTTGCAGGGAATTTGATACTTATCTGCAAAAAAAAGTGGGGAAAAAGCCTTAGAAATGATGCACATAAACACCTGTTAAATCAAGAGCCGGAATCAAGACAGTCTTGTCATGAGGTTTCCAAGAGGACATATTTCCGAACCTAGTAGCAGTTTGCAGACTTGCTGGACCTGGTTTCCCTGTATTTGGACCAGGACTCGGTCCTTGGAGCCCGGGACGGGGTTCAGGGCTGAGCTGGCCTGGACTCTGCGCTGCAGGGCGACTGACACCGCCATGGGGTCCAGACCATACACCTCCAGGTTCTTTATCATTGTCACCTAAAGAGAAGGGAGGAAGGAAGGATATTTTATTATAAAATCACAAAGATTGAGGAGTGCTGCTTTAAAAACATGTTGTCATGGGTGTACCTTCTTGTTGGAGCCCCTGGAGGCCACAGAGATGTCTATGGGCTCAATGTGGCCCTTCTTTATTATGGGTGGCTGGCCAGGGAACACCAGCTGGTGGCAGTGCTGCATTTTGTATAGCGTCCTGTGGACACAAGATGGTGGTGTTAAATCATAATCCAAGGCGTGATGCAGCATGACTTCAGGCCAGTGTTTCACTACCCATAGCTGTTTACCTGCTGAAGAGGTCATCCCACTTGAGTGCCTCCACCTCCTGGTACTCTGACTTCTCCAGTAGGCAGTCACATAGGATCGGGTTAATGATGACATAACTGGTGGAGTTCACACAGACTGTGTTAATATAGGAGAGTTGATAGCTACCACCTTGAACAGATATTTGCGCTGGCAGTGAATCTCCCAAACAACTGGATATTGAAAGTCTTAAATCCTGAATGAAAGTGAAAGCTTTGAATCCATGCAATCTCCTCACTTTTTATTCTTCTCATCCACCAGCTCGTTCCTCTTCACATAATCTGTGATGATTTCTCTCACTTCCGCTGGTTGGAGTACTGTTCCTTTCCTTTGAGAGAGAGCACCGACATGTCAGTACAACTCAAAACATTTACTTAAAAACATAAAAAAAGACTACACAGACGCTTGCAGGCATGTACCCAGACTCACCTCTTCTTGGCATCTTGAAACAGAGGCTCCAGACGAGAGGACACCATGTAGAGAGTAGTGATCTCAGGGGGATGGTAGGGCTTCTCACCCTCCACTCCTCCCACCTCCACTGGGGCCTCCTCTATCCCAGGATCCTCTGGGGTGCGGAAGGAGCGCAGTCTAGATGCAGCAGAAAAGACAGTATAAAAAAAACACTTCACTATTGCTAATCTCAAGTCCCCCCCATAAATGCCGTAGGTGGAAGAGGATATACTCACGCTGGGTTCTTCCAGTCAACCTCTACGATGCTCTCCACCCCTTTACTCAGCTCCTTCACCCTCACCAGGCTGTGCTGCTGCTGCATGCTCTGAAGGAACTTGGATAACTGGGGCCAAAACATTAGATTTAGGATTTAAGGGATAATTCAGTGATTATTGATGAATAGTCAAATTGAAAATGTCTGGGTTTTGCCATCCTCTTTCCAAAATTCACGATTCAAGTTTATTAGAAACATCATAGCATTATGAAATGAGACGTCCTTTACAAGTCAAGTCGAGGACCACTCTTATTCTAAGACGGGTTACCTTTTTATAGCTTGATTTCTTGATGTCAAGTTGCTTTCCACTTGGACTGTAAAACAAAACAAAATGTATGAATATTCAGTTCAAAGCTACTTCTTTTAAGCAGAATGCTAACTTGAGATAGGCCACATGCACACAACTCAAACTTTTGCATTTATGCACTGATGTCAGTGGGAAACTCAATGTCCCCGAGTAGTGTTCACCAGCAGGAGAACATGTGGATGCGCAGGAAGCTACTGGTCAGCAGGGGGAGCTCTGACTTCTTCACTTTGCTCTTGAGCGCCTGGAGGAAACACTGCAGCAGCAGGGCGTCCATCTGCTCTGTAAGGACAGGACTATGTTTGTGATATACACTGTAATTCTCTCTTTTTTTGTTTGTCAATTCATGACTCTTTTATGCAATAAGATACTTGCTTTCAAAGAAATACACATAAAATCAAATATGTTTGCCATCAATCTCTTTGTTTTAAGGATTTTGATTTGTTAAGGACAATGTAATTGTGTTGGGAATAAAATATTAACAGAACACTAGAGCAAAGAATACCAGAACTCTTCTCAATTCCCTTAGACCCAAACACATGGACACATATCATAATAACTGCCAAACTCTCCTCTTACTGGATCTCCATTTGAGCAGTAATAGCTACCTTGTTGGCTCCTCGGGTCCTCTGGGTATTCTTCTCCTTCTTCTTTCCCCTGCTCCCCCTCCTCCCTGTCAGCCAGGCTGAGCTCCTGGATACCAGGACAGGGGGCATCTGTGGCCTTGTCACCATCAGAGTTGGGACACGGTTCCTCTTCAACCCCCTCTGTTGCCTCTTCATCCTCATCCTCCTCCTCTTCTCCATACATTGCCTCGACACCCTCAGCGTCCACATCAGGAATGGAGGGAGGACCAGACTTGTCTCCAAATGCCCTAAAGAGAGTAACAGATGAAATAAGTGATGAGGAACTTCTCAGGGTGGTGAAAGTGCACAGTGATCTTGATGATCCTTTCCAATAGATATCAAGGGTCTTATTCTGGTGACATGATGATCGATGCTTGACTGCCGTTCCACAAATAAAAATATTCTCGCTCTTATCCATAATAATATCATCATGTAGACTAGACTAACCACACTGTTTCTGCAAGCTGTTGGCTATTCGGTACATGAAAACTTAAGCGAAAAAGTGTCATTTTGTTTGCAAAACGTCATCACGCACTAATTTTAATCCGCAACAAGTCTGTTGGATGGAAACACACCAAATGCGGATATTTTCTTGATGTGGATTTTAGAATATACGCATGAAAATCTGTCCGTAATTGGATGGAAACCTAGCTATTGACAAACAAATGTTGTGTCAGGGTTATAATCATTGACAGTCTGACCACGCTTCAGTGTGTGTGTGTTGAGGTTGACCAGGCACTCACCACAGGCTGTCCAGGTAGGTGTGGAGGACTGACACCCCTCTGCCCTTCATGCCCAAGCTCCGCATCTCAGCACTGGACATGGTGGCAGTGCCCACTGCCATGGGAGCCCTGGAAAGAAACAACCAGGACGTTCTGAACAAGAATATGAAGCCTGCCATTGTCAATGTGTTCATTATAGACAGCGGTAACAGCCAATCAGTGATTAGCTTAGGCCTACCTGTTGCTAACAACTTTAACAGCGCAGCAGTCCCCCTTCTTCACCTCTGGGAGACCACTTAGAGGCACCACCACTCCAGGCAGCATGAGATCTGTGGAGGAGCAGGGAGGATAGAGTTTCAGAATACATGTTAATGACTGATACATTGATTAATATTAGTCCAGGTTTTACATAAGACAAATAACCTTACCTGCCCCTCCAGCCAGCTTCTGTAGCACTGGAGGCCATGTTGTGAATGCTGGCAAGACATGGGGATAATGCCAAAGCGTATACACTGAAAACCAACAAGACATACAGTACAGTCAAGATTTCCCTTTTTTTCTGAATTATATGGTCAGTGCATCTCTGCCACTTGACTGTAACCCTACCTGTGGGATAGAGGCGTTTCTCCAGCTCAAAGAACACTGGGTTCTTATGAAGTACGTAGAGGGTCACTGCATCTCCCTTGTGGGCATAAATCTTCACTACATTCAGCTCCTCCTTGTTTGGGACCAACTCAGACAGTTCCTCCACAGACAGAGAGGGAAAGGCTGTGGATACGTCAGCTTTCAGCTTCCTCCTAAGGTGGGTAGAGAGGTGTTATGAAATATATATCTGAAATAGTTTTCAGGAAATGTTGTGATGCTTTCATTTCCACAAGCCTAGAATAACTGAATTTCAACCACCAACTGCATCTTAGTGGTGAGAGTAGGAAATGGAACAGGACAAATAGCCAAAACCTAGAACAGATGTATGCAATAATCTTTAGTAGCCAGATGACGATATTTAGTCGTTTCATCGCCATCTGCCGGCCTTCGGGCTACCGGCACAGTAAATTGAAATGTAATTTCTGTCTTCCCACAAACAGTTTTTGTGCAACCCAATACAATAGGGAGCAATGCTGCAGTGTAAATACTCCAGCGTTGTTAATAATAGCAGCTAGGTACCCATCTAAGCTAATCGTAGATGCTAACTACCTTTAGCGTCTATTGATGAAGGGGGATCAATAGGCGCTTCATGGGGTACTTTTGTTAAGAGCCCCGACGCTTGCTCTAAATGTGAATACGCATCCCTTGCTGTACGGTTTTGGAAACCTAAGGAACACATTTTCAATAAATCAGTGAGAAATAAAAAAAAATTAATATATAAAAATGTAAAAATACTAAAACAAATAAAGTATTTTTTTTTAAAGTACTACACACCTTTATAGGGTTACCACACGGCCATATTTCCCTATTACAGCACTTGTTTACGGAAAACAGACGGAAGAGAGGCGTACCAGTGCTAATTAGATATCTGCATCTCCGAACACCTGTGTGTAAACAGAAGATGGACGCCACAAACGTGTTGTCACTGAAAAATACTGTCGGCTGCAGTTGTGTTAAAACCGGATAAAACAGTGTACAGTAAGTGTATATTTTGATGGGATATGAAAGTAGAGGGCTTTATGTTTCTAGAACCGTACCGCAATTGAGAATCTATTTGATTCCCGTTAAGATGGAGTATTTGGCTGCCGGAGCCAATTCACCTCTAAACAGAACATGTAAAGGTCCTTGGACACCACAGTGCATTCGGAAAGTTTCAGACCCCTTGACTTTTTCCAAATTTTGTTACAGCCTTATTCTAAAATGGATTAAATTGTTTTTTTTCTCCCCTCAATATACACACCACAACCCATAATGACAAAGCAAAAACAGGTTTTTAGAAATGTTTCCAAAATGTATTAAAATAAAAAAAACGAAATATACATTTACATAAGTATTCAGACCCTTTACTCAGTACTTTGTTGAAGCACCTTCAGCAGCGATTACAGCCTTGAGTCTTCTTGGGTATGACGCTACAAGCTTGGCACACCTGTACTTCGGGAGTTTCTCCAATTCTTCTCTGCAGATCCTCTCAAGCTCTGTCAGGTTGGATGGGGAGCGTCGCTGCACAGCTATTTTCAGGTCTCTCCAGAGATGTTAGATCGGGTTTAAGTCCAGGCTCTGGCTGGGCCACTCAAGGACGTTCAGAGACTTGTCCCGAAGCCACTCCTGCGTTGTCTTGGCTATGGGCTTAGGGTCGTTGTCCTGTTGGAAGGTGAACCTTCACCCCAGTCTGAGGTCTTGAGCGCTCTGGAGCAGGTTTTCATCAAGGAGCTCTCTGTACTTTGCTCCGATCATCTTTCCCTCGATCCTGACTAGTCTCTCAGTCGCTGCCGCTGAAAAACATCCCCACAGCATGATGCTGCCACCACCATGCTTCACCGTAGGGATGGTGCCAGGTTTCCTCCAGACGTGACGCTTGGCATTCAGGCCAAAGAGTTCTCCCATCTCCACAGAGGAACTCTGGAGTTATGTCAGAGTCACCATCGGGTTCTTGGTCACCTCCCTGACCAAGGCCCTTCTCCCCCGATTGCTCAGTAAGGCCGGGCGGCCAGCTCTAGGAAGAGTCTTGGTGGTTCCAAACTTCTTCCATTTAAGAATGATGGAGGCCACTGTGTTCTTAGGGACATTCAATGCTGCAGAAATGTTTTGGTACCCTTCCCCAGATCTGTGCCTCGACACAATCCTGTCGTCTCGGGGCTCTACGGACAATTCCTTTTGACCTCATGGCTTGGTTTTTGCTCTGACATGCACGGTCAACTGTGGGTCCTTATATAGACAGGTGTGCCTTTCAAAATCATGTCCAATCAATTGAATTTATCACAGGTGGACTCCAGTCAAGCTGTAGAAACATCAAGGATGATCAATGAAACAGGATGCACCTGAGCTCAATTTCGAGTCTCATAGCAAAGGGTCTGAATACTTATGTAAATAAGGTATTTTTTATATTAATTTTTAATACATTCGCAAAAATGCCTAAAAACCTGTTTTCGCTTTGTCATTATGGGGTATTGTGTGTAAATGGATGAAGAAAAAAAACAATTTAATCCATTTTAGAATAAGGCTATAACGTAACAATGTGGAAAGCACGAACCACCACATTTAACCATGGCAAGGTGACTGGGAACATGGATGTGTACAAACAGACCAGCTACGATCTCCGTAAGCCAATCAAAGAGACAAAACGACAGTACAGGGATAAAGTGGAGTCTCAATTCAACGGCTCAGACACGAGACGCATGTGGCAGGGACTCCAGACAATCACAGATTCTAAAGGGAAAACCAGCCACGTCCCAGACACCAACACCTCGCTCCAAGACGAGCTAAACACCTTTTTTGCCCTCTTTGAGGAAAACATTGAGCCACCGACACGGGCCCCTGACGCTCATGAGGACTATGTGCTTTCCTTCTCCGTGGCTTACATGAGTAAGCCATTTAAGCGTGTTAACCTTTGCAAGGCTGCCGGCCCAGACAGCATCCCAAGCTGCATCCTCAGAGCATGTGCAGACCTGCTGGCTGGAGTGTTTGAATGTCTTTAATCTTACCATATCCCAGTCTGTTGTCCTCACTTGCTTCAAGATGTCCACCATTGTTCTAAATGACTGACTTTCATCCCATAGCACTCACTTCTGTCATCATGAAGTGCTTTGAGACGCTAGTGAAGGACTATATCACCTCCACCTTACCCGACACCCACTACAATTCGCTTATCGCCCCAACAGATGCATGGACGACGCATTCGCCATCACACTGCCCTATCCCACCTGGACAAGAGAAACACATATGTAAGAATGCTGTTCATCGACTAAAGCTCAGCTTTCAACACTATAGTGCCCTCCTAGCTCATCACTAAGCTTAGGGCCCTGGGTCTGAACCCCAACCTGTGCAACTGGGTCCTGGACTTCCTGATGAGCCAACCCCAGGTGGTGAAGGTAGGCAACAACACCTCTGCCATGCTGATCCTCAACATGGGGGCCCACAGGGGTGCGTGCTCAGCCCCCTCCTGTAGTCCCTGTTCACCCATGACTGCGTGGCCACACATATCTCCAACTCAATCATCAAGTTTGCTGACGACACAACAGTGGTAGACATGATTACCAACAACGACGAGACAGCCTACAGGGAGGAAGTGAGAACCCTGGCGGAGTGGTGCCTGGAAAATAACGTAGGAGCTGATCGTGGACTACAGGACACAGCAGAGAGAGCACACCCCCATCCATGGGGCCGCAGTAGAGAGGGTCAAAAGCTTTAAGTTAGGGCTGGGCGATATGGCATAAAACTCATGGGCGAGTCACAATATAAATTATATCGCGATTTTAAATTCTCTCTAAATAAGCTTTGTTGTACAATTAAAAGGTCAAATACACTGCATTTAAAACAGTCAGCAATAATCTAATAAATTCAGAGCTTATGAAATTATACCTAGGCTGAATATATGCCTTCCACAACCATAAGACCCACTAATAATTTAATCAAAATAGTTGTACCTGCTTTTATTGCAATAATCACTGATCTGGCTTTCAGGTCTATAAAAATGCCCTTTTTGTTACACATTCAACCAGAACCATGCATAACGCACTTTCACTAATAATGTAGCAGGCATAGAAAATGAACTAGGGTCTAAAACACTCAAGCACACATGCTAGTGAGTAGCCAGCTAATAATTATATTTCAAGTTTAGCCAACTTAGATCTAGGTATAATTTCACAAGCTCTGAATTCAGCTAACAAGGCAAAACAGTTGAATTGTTATGAACACAACCTTCTCTCCGTCTCCAAATGTTTGAACAGCATGCTAGCCTGTCCACTTTGTTCAGAGTGGCCTACCTTATTTCTCAGAATGAGAATGAGTTGCCAATTCCTTATATCATTGTTTTATGCTTATTGCACATTTATAAAACACAGACTAAACAGCTAGTATGGCAATCTTTATTGACAAACTGAGCATTAATGTTCCAGAATTAATGTTAATTGGTACATCAGTTTTAGTCAAACCTCAAATGCAAATAGCGAGTTGAAACCGTTTGTCAGAGAGGAAAAATACAGTATCCTGTTGGGCTGTATGGCAATTGCACCTCTCCAGAGGGTGTTGCGGTCAGCCCAACGCATCACCGGGGGCACACTGCATGCCCTCCAGGGGCCTCATAACCGTTTCGTAAATGATACACTACATATAAATGCCAAACTTGATCAGATGTCTTTGGAGGTATTGGCAGATTTTTTTAAAATCAGTGCCATTTGCTGTATCTGACGGTTTCTGAAACAAAAACCTATTGCAAATTGTTGTGGACCTGTAACCAGATTGTTTGAATTCAATAATGTTTTGAACTTACTTTGTCCCGAACATAAATATGCTGCACTGCCCGCGAATTCTGAAACATTGTCTACTCTGAAAAAAAATGAAAAACTACAGTAGGCCTAGTTACAGTGGTAGCCTACACACTTCAATGCAAAACTCTGTTCACCTGTATGTTATAAACCACGCTCCCTTACGGATGCATAGAGCAAAATTATGGAAATATATTCCACACGGTCTAATTTACATATTAAGTGCCTAATTTGCACTTATCATCTCTGTTGTACGTGGACCATGAAAAAGTCATACCAATATGACCACCCTATCTTGCAGTTATTGGACAAAAAGTGTTGAATTTAAGAATTCAGACAGATGATTTGGTGCCTTATGACTAGGGATTAAGATTGACCTGTCCGCTAAACATTTTTGACCTTTTCCCGATAACTTGAAAATAAGATCTCAGAAATGGTAAGTCTTATCCTCATGAAAACGAGGATCTGTGT